GGGCTCTGCAGAGATGCAGTATATGTGGGAGGCCTTTCCCCGGCTGCCTCTAGACTCACCTCAGGTGTTGGGGGCAGGTTGCTGTGACTGAGGGTCTTCTGTGTGTGAGGCTCAGAGCTGGGGCTTCTAGTTCTTCTGACCACCCTGTGAGTGCTTGGGGGGTGAACAGCCTCGTTTTGTTGCCTAGGAAACTGGCCCTGCCTGGGGGCTCATCGGTGGGGTACCTGGGAGATGGTAAGTCTGAATGGGGAGCTTGGCAGTGTCCATGGCAAGGGGCGTCTGGATTTTATTGTCTGGTTCTTGTTGGATCTACTTATTTAACTCAAGTACAAGTTGACAGGATGTATTGGCTTCCAGTGGATATCACACAGGTGCAGTCACCGTCTGCGGCCATACGAAGTTATTACAGTATTATTGACTCTGTTTCCCATGCTGTCCTGTTCATCCCTGTGACTGACTTTATAACTGGAAGTATATACCTCCTAATCCCCTTCTCCTGTTTCACCTGCCCCTCCACCCCCACTCCAAGAGGTTCATCTTTAGATTATGTTTACCTTGAGACATTGTCTTTGAGTTTTGAGGGTGTGGTTGAGGGCTGAGCTTTTCTTCTGGGCCAAACTGCTGCTTTGTGAGAAGGTTCTGCCTGGTGTCCCTCCGGCGCTCAAATTTTTATAGAACTCTGTCATTTATCCACCACCTGGTCACCCTGTTTGATGCCGTTTGGCAGGTGATGAGGCCCAGGGAAGACAGAAGGTGGGGGCAGAAGGGTTCCTAAATGTGAGCGCACTGGAAGCTCTTCAGCCAGGAGGTTCCTTCTCTCATTTGAGAGGTATTTAGGGGCTCTGTGTCAACCTTGAACTTGTCTCCCAGATGCCCTGGACCAAGCCCATTCCTCATGCTGTTGCCAGCAATTGGAGGCCCTGAGGTTTTTTAATTTGTAGCAGCCAGGGGCAGGGAAAGGGGGTTGGCTTTGTGACTCACCAAGTCACACAGGCAGAACCACAAATAAGGGACTCCAGTTGGCAAAAACCAAATTGCTTCAAGGCTATTCTTGGAAACTAAAGCATCACGTCTTGTTTCTTCCCAGAAAATGCAGAAACCTTTCATATGTCTGGGTGGTTTTATTTATATTTCGTATCAAACTCTAAAAAGCAACAGCTGGGTGGTGGTTGACAAGGAAAATTTTAACAAGAGCTACTACCCAGGATCCTCTGATTTAACCAATCCTTGAATTTCTTTTGGGAAAGGAGAAAGAGTATCTACCAGAAGAATTCCACTCTAGTGTCTGGAAAGGGGCTTGGAGCTCAGACTCAGACTCCCAGAGCCCTTCAAAGTCAGCCTTTCTAGTTCATTAACAGAACTACCTTGTACCGAGGATGTTTTCAATTCATTACTGAAACTTCCTTCTTCCCCACTCTATATTTGAGGGAACTGAAATCTCAGAAATTGAGTTGTCCAAGGCTACACAGCTAGGAAGTGGATTTGAACCCACATCGTCTGAGTTGAAAGCCCATGGCTTCTAGTTTTAAAGTACAGATAATTCCTTGACCTGGGCAGCTGGCCCCATCCTTCTGGTTTGATGTTTGGGCCATTTGAGGAATCACAACTGGTTATCATGTAGCTGCCAGGTGCTAAATACGTCACATCCATGATGGAGTTCATTCCTTATGGCCCTATGAAGCAGGTATGATCATCTCATTCTGCAGATGAGGAAACAGACAGAGATACGTCATGTGCCTTGCTGGTGCGTGAGACCAGGTTCACACCCTCGTCTGGCAGACTCTAAACACTCTGAGGCTCTTCCGGAGGAAACATAGCCTGCATGGATGTAAGAGTCATTTTTAAGGTCTTTGACTTCAACTGGAAAGCTGATTATACAGGTTGAGACCAGACCCTTCAGACCGGGGAGGCAGGTCTGAGGCTGGTATGAGCTGCTGGGATAGGCCACGGCAGTGCTCTCTGCTGTCCCGCCATCTCTCTCCACCACCCCCACCGCCCCAGGTAGCTCCCTCTAGATAAGAGCGAGCTCCTGGGGCCCCCACGCCCAGCCAGCACCCTCCACACCACCTTTGGCTCTCCACTGGAGCCCTAAGATCAAGTTGTTCATTTTCCTTTGGGGGGAGGAAGGGCGGCAGCTAGAGCTGGAAGGAGACAGGTTCTTCCAGTTCGTAAATGATTCTCTGGGAGTCAGGTTTGGCTTGATATCTCTAACCAGCTCACCATTTTAGACAGGGAGGAGTTGGCAACTTGAAGAATTGATTTACAGAAGTATTTTTCCAAACCAGTACATTCCCCAGACACAAATCTGCCCCACGTGAGGGATGCAGCACCCATTTCCACCGCTGCCAGGCACCTCCCAGGGCCGGGCTTGCCACCACACACCTCTCTTGCTCTGCACAGCAACCCCGCAAGGTGGAGATTATCTCTTACAAAAGAAGAAACTGAGGCTCAGCACTTCTGTGGCTCATGTGAGGCCATGAGGGCAGCCAGGGGCCAAACCGAGCTTTGGACGTGGGCTCCACTCGCCCTGAAGCCTGTGGCTTTCTCTGCACCACCTGCCCATCCCCAGAACGGACTGCAGGAGGGCAGCAGAATTCAAGTAGCTGTGGATCTCTCAGTCAGCGACCGCATCCTTTGTTCAGCGCTGGGCGCAGAGTGCCTCCAAAGATAGAGAGAGACCAAGGATGCTCCTTTGCTCTGAACAGCAAACGGGTCTTGCTCTCTGTTTATGCTCTCTGGGTGGCAAGTCCTGTACCTGGGGGAGAGCTGATGAAACAGTAGGAGGCAGGGTTTATGTGAGCGATGCCGAAGTGAGCACTGCAGAGGTTTGAGGAGCTGAGAGACCCTCTGGGAGGGAATCCATGTCTTAGCAGCACCTGGCAAAGCACAGGCCGCGCTCTCCACGTGTTCTGGCTTTGGTGAGGTGCGGGGAACAGAGCCACCAGGTCAGTGCTCCTGGAGGACAGAGGCCTGGCTGAAGACTGGAACTTGGCTAGGCCTGGAGCAGGGAATGGGCCTTCAGCCGAGCACGGTGCCAGGCCCACTGGAGGCTCCTGGGGTGGAGGGGAGGAGGGGGAGGAGTCTCACGCTGTTGCCGGTGCCCCCTCAGCCAGCAGTGTCTGGGTGTCTGCCCCCAGCCGGCTGCTCCCTGTAGCTGCTACCCATGGGGCTGCCGTACAGCCTTCATGTGTGTGGGGCTCTCTCCCGGGGCTCTCGCGGTGGCTTTGTTCATGGCCGCCTTCCTCTCCCATGCATCTCCACCACCGCACAGAGACTCCTCTCGGCCCACTGCTTTATCTCCTGCACCCTGCAACCCACGGGAGAAGCCAGATCCCCTCCATGATCTGCCTTGGATGCGCCCATCACCCCTTGTCATGAGTTTGGAACTCTAGACGCCTTGGACTTCCTCTCATTCTGCAGCTGTCCTGGCTCTTTCCAGACTCACGCCTGTATGGTGTTTCTTTTGCCTGAGAACTTCTATTCCCTGGTCTTCTAATGAAATTCACCTTGTTCCTAAAATTGTAGTGTTTTGGGCATCCCAGCCCCCCTCCACCCTGTGGCTCCTCTGGGCACCTGTAGGCTCTGTTGGACACCTCCTTATGTGGCTTCCATGCACCATGTTCATCTTTTAAAAGCGCTTGCTTGTTGTCTTATAATCAACTCTTTATACACGTGTCTTCCTCACTAGGCCCCATCTCTGCATCCCCAGGACCTAGGGTGATGCATGGCTCTTGCTTAGGCACCAGTATTTGTTGCTGAATGGATGAGTAAAGGATGAAAGAAAACAAACACCATTCTCTGCTTTTAATATTATATGGCAAGCCCACAATCCAAATGCACCCACAATAGTGTTTCTGTCTGGAGAGTGGGAAGCCACCCAGCCCAAGGGCCTTGTCTCTGTGTTTGCTGACCTCCTCCCTCCAGGCCTCTGTCTGGGGGAGCTTGGTATGCTGTATCCTCTTGTTTACCGACCCTCTCGAGCCCTCTGGACAGCTGGGCAGCACTAGTTCCTCTATGCTTGTCTTCTTGCACTAGCTTTGGATTCTGGAAAAATAGCTATTGCTTTGGAAAATCGACCCTAACTTATTTTTGTTCCTTTGAAACTTGAATGACTTTCCTAAGAAATGCCTGAGGTTAAAGTGGTGCAGAGAGACAGGCCAATGGCCAAAACCCAGGCGAGCTATTTTCGTGATGTGAATGAATACCCATCGCATTTTTCCTTCCATCGGCCTGAGCACTTGTTCCAAATAGCTCACAGCTTGGGCTCACAAAGCACAGACTCCTTTTGTATGTGGGGAGGAGACCCTTGTGTGTCTGTGTCTTTTTGTCTGACTGACTGAGGTGGATGCTGAGCTTGCAGCAGATACGAGGAGTAGAGAGAAGTTTCGAGAAGTTGCCGTTTGTCATCTGTATAGGGGAAGGACCTGCCCTCTGGTAGCTAATGGAGGAAGACTTTCAAGTTTGGTGTTTTAGGATAGGTGGGAAGGCCATGAAATCTAGGGAGGCACGTGCTTTGAATGTTTTGGTCTGTGCACTGTTCTGTGGCTAGATTACACTAATATTAGCCAACTAATTTACAGCACCACAAATTAAAGGTTTTCAGTGGTGCTCACAAAATCTAGTATGCTTCTCTGCTTTGTCCCCCCCCCCTTACTAGTTATTATTTCTAGAACTATCTAGCTCATAGCAAGATTGACCAAGTAATGCTGACATCAGCCAGGCCATATCTTTGAGCAATCTGTAGTTCTTTACAACCAGCGAGAGGAGTGGGGTGTTGGCGGGGGGTAGAAAGAGATTGCCAGCAAGACACCATTGTCAGGTCAGAAGGGATGATTGTACATTTTCTATAGATGGTTTATGTTTAGCATTAAGTATTAATGTTTAGTATGCTTAACATCCCAAAGGAATTTTATTTTTCCCTCTCAGCACGCCCCCCCCCCCCGCCGCCCCGCCGCCTCCATTGCCATGGAGCTCACCTCTGTCTCCATCTACCTTTGCAGGTGTGACGTGTCTCCAGGTACTTCATGGTGTTCTCCTCCGGCCTCTGCATACCACTGCGCTACACAGCTCCTGAAACATGGGGGAAAACGAAGACGAGAAGCAGAGCCAGGCCGGGCAGGTTTTCGAGAACTTTGTCCAGGCTTCCACGTGCAAAGGCACCCTCCAGGCCTTCAACATCCTCACACGACACCTGGACCTAGACCCCCTGGACCACAGGAATTTTTATTCCAAGCTCAAGTCTAAGGTGACCACCTGGAAGGCCAAAGCCCTGTGGTACAAATTGGACAAGCGTGGATCCCACAAGGAGTATAAGCGAGGGAAGTCCTGTATGAACACCAAGGTAAGGGAAAACCCTGTGATTTCTTACCCTTGTGGGGCATGTGGGTTGACTTGCCGGGAGTTTGGGAAGCTGTCTCCATTCTGCCATTCTGAGATTCTTAATAGGTGTGGGCATGTGTTAGCATTTTGCTTGGTTGAAGATTTCCTTGGTCTGCATGCACAGCTTATCCTGGGTGGGAGCCTCTGTCTTACCGTGGTGGCCTCAGCTACTCTTCTTGTGTCCTCTCCGTGGCAGAGAGAATAAAGGCATGCTTGGCACTATCCTCCTACTATTACCACTACTACTTCTAGTAGCTACGATTTATTGAGCAACTTCTGCGTGCCAGGCACTTTATAAACATGGTCCCAGTGAACACCTCCATGGTCCTTTGGGCCATTTTAGAGCTATGGAAACTGAGAAGTCAATTATCTTGCCTAAGATCACACAACAAGGAGGCAACCTTGGTCTGTCTGATTCTAGAGCTTATGCCCTAAATTCCGTTCCCCTGGGAGCCAACATTGTAGAAAGATGCCTTGACTTTAATTGGCTAAGAAATAGGTCTTTGGTCCTTACTACATTTTCCTCCCTCTCTCTTTCCCTTCTTCCCCCCCACCCTCTTCCCCAGGATGCATTTCTGTGCTCAGGGTCACACTTGCAGTTAACCCTCCATAAGCTGATTACTTCCCCCACTGTTTGGCCATAGGCAACATTGGTGAACGTGGCCTAAGTCAGCAGAGCATCACATCTCTTCTCTCACTCCGATGCCCATTGCCTAATGGGCAGCCAGAAGTCAAGACTTCCCGGCTGGCCCTGGGGGGCTGTCAGCCCTGGGCAGTGGTCCAGACTGTATGTTTAGGTTAAAAGTGAGCATGCTGTATTTAGACCTCACAGGAGGTAGCTCAGCCAGAGCCCTTGGAATTTTAGTTGGTGCCAATCCCAGACAAGAGGATTGAACTCTCCATGGCGATCAGGACTGTTGTGTTTTTGTTTTGGTGTTGAGGAGCTGTTGAGTGTACCGTGGGATACGGCCGCTTTCCCTTGCCCCCGGGGGGACAGCTGCCAAAGCTCCTCCAAGCCTGGGGCGACTTTATGGGGCATAGGAGGAGCATTCCACCAGGCCAGAACTTCAGCCCGGAGCTCTAGCCATCCAGGCAGTGCCTGCCCGTAACCTGCCAAGCTTTAGCCCTTCCTAGCGGAGACAGAAGTGTTAAAGAAAAAGGAGAGAAAGGGGTGTGACCAGTCCCTGAGGCGCTACCCCCACCTAGCTGATGTAACTTCCCGGCTCCTGGACCACTGGGAAGCTCTTCAGACTTGGAGAGGGGGGCACTGTTTGTTTTCAAAGCATCACCCTTTTCAGTAACAGCATGTGACCGCTTTCTTTTGAAAAGGTCCCATAGAAGTCAGGTGGCCAGGCTGCAAGATGTTTTCTCAGGAAGGTTTTCAGAGACCTTATTCTATGAGGAAATGCCATGGCCTCCTGTGCCCAGCAGTTTCTGGCTGCTGAGAGGACTCTCTTGGTGATCCTGAGGACAGACCTGCGGAGGGAATGAACCAGCCCCGGGATGTGATGGAGACTCGACCAGCAGGGGGATGTGCTTTTTTTCAAAAATCACCAGTCGGTCGGTTGCCTCTCCCTGTCTAGCCAGGCCTTATTTTACAAGCTTTGATGCGTTGAAATAGAAGAGTCCTTGTGGACTCTAGGGGTTGGCAGGTGACCACTGGTGCCTGAGATAACAAAGGGAAAGCACTAACATCTGTAGTTAGCGATGCTGAGTTGAGAGTGCATCTTGCTCAGGAATTTTATGCCTCGTAGGAGGAAGAATAAAGACCTTTCACATGTGTGGTAGTCCATCTCCTAAGAACTACCTAGATCCTGAAGCGTGGAACACATTTGGAAATGTGGTCCAAGTACGGCTCCAACTGTATGAGGTCACTTGCGCGACACACTTGAGAAACCCAGCTCAAAGCTAAACGCAAAAGGGAATCATTAACTTGTATAAACAGGAAGGTCCAGACAGTCTTTGCCAGCCTCTCTCCTTCCAACTATGTCTTGGACGTTTTGCTCTACGTTGGCTCCATTCTAACATCCTGCGAACAGATTTTCTCCATGTTGGTGGCCTCTAGTTCATATCTTTATAACTCTATGACCCAAAGGCTAGACTCGCTCTCCTCCTGCTCAATATTGAATAAAATCTCAGGGAAGGATTCTGATTGGGCTGTCCCTGGACCAATTATTGTGCCCAAACCAGGAGAACTGGCTATTGTCTTTGGTAGTCCTTTCAAGCATCACATGATTGACATGAGGGAGGAGCAGGTTCCCAAGGTCATAGAGGTGTGAGATGGATAAATGTCCTCTATAGGGACTGTTTATGTGCATTCTGGTTATGGTATAGTCTCTCACCATACTGGATTCATGTGGATGGTTAATACTCAGCTCTAAGAGCCTAGAGCTTGTAGTCCTTGTTGTGAGTCAAACAAAACACAGAACATGGGTCCTCCCTCTCTTCTAACATGAACAGACACTATCTCACTCACACACCTCTTTTAGGTATCCTTGGGTGTAGTAGTTTATGCTGAGCATTAGCCAAACAAGAAATGCTGGGTATTAGCATGCACGTGGATGACCATTAGTGCTAACACATATAGCACAGGTGTGTCAGGTATCAGGCACATAGCCAAGCTCCTGGCTAGCCACAGTTAGAGTAGAAATAAATGGAATTCAGCCAGAACCCTCACCTTTCCATTGTTGTGGACATCTCAGCACCATCTGGAGTGGGTCTGGGCTTTAGCATTTCACAAGCATGTGAGTGTGTGTGTGAACGTATATATGCATGCATGAATGTATGTTGGCAGTGGTGGTTGGGGGAGATTGACCAGCATCTGTTTGGAGAAGAAAGCCTCTGGTGGGGGTGCCAGGGGACAGGAAGAAGGACCTACAGTGTCATTAGAGCAGTGGCTTAGGTGTCAGTTGCATAATCTAACTTGGGATCATGGTTCATTATTGATTAGTTATGAGGGTTTTGTCAGGCACTTAACAATTCTTTCCTTGGGTGTGACCTGTTTTGCTAAGGATAGAGTGAACAAAGGATCAAGCCAAATTAACTCTTTTAGGACTAATATTGGCTCTGCATCAGGGCAGTACCCCAATCAAATGTCAAATCCAATTGTGTAATGTTCTTTGGGGAAAACAGCCCAGAAGGAAAACAAAACAGTACAATACAAATTTTGATATGGGAATTGCCATCATCATGAAATCATAAAGTCTGATCTTTTATTTTATATGTACCTAATTTCAGAAGGACATATTTTGAGAGGATGTTGTGTACCATCTCTCCATTTGACAGGTGACATAGAGGGGCCCAGGAACCTGAAGCTATTGATCTGAAGCTAGAGGGTGGCTTTATCAGGATTTGGACTCTGTTGATGGGTGCGCACTAATATGCTTTTGTTCATTCATTCAGCAGATGTTTCTGGTGCTCTGTGCCTTGCTAGGCACCTGACAGGGGAGGTGGTTTGAAAGAATGAGAAGTGGCTCTGAGCAGTTGTGAGACAGAAACATTGTTTCTGTATTTATTAACTTATTTAATCATTCATGAGGTGAATAATTTTTGAGCAGCTGCTGTGTGCCAGGCACTTGTCTAGGTACCAGTCAGCCACGAACTAGCTCTGTGGCCTTGGGCAGGCTACTTAAATCGCTGATCCTCAGTAGTGTTCTCTATAAAATGAAGATGGCTCCTCTCTCACGGAGTTGCTGTGAGCACTAACTAAGGCAATCTTTGTGAAGTATTTAGAACACTGCCTAGTACACCATAAGTGATCAGCAAATACTTAGCCATTATTTTCATAAATATCCTAAGTGTATGAGACAGGTGCATCCACTGTTCTGCAGAAGTAGAGAAAAGCAATGACTGAGCCTGACTGGAGCAGTCCCGGAATGCTTCCTGGAAGAGAAGGTATGATTTGGAGCTTGACATATGAGAAGAAGTTTGCCTGGCCTAGCTGAGGGAACACAAGGCAGAGAGCTGTATTCCAGGGAGAGTGTGTTGCTGTGTAAGAGGAACAAAGGTGTGGGTGGGGAGAGGGTGAGAGCCAGGCAGAGCCGAATAGATGGATGCAGGAGGAGACCCGCAAAGAACGGCCTCCCAGGGCCGGGCTGTGAAGAGAGGGTCTCGTAGTCAAACAGAGGACCTGGGGGACCATTGGAGACGAGCCTGGATTCCCGATCCAGGGTTCTTTCTACCACCCTCCATGGGGTTGCTCAGTGATCACAGATAACCAATGCAGACCAGAAGGCCTTTGTACATCATAAAAACATGTATGCAGGAAATGACTCATGGACTCTTGTCACCAGCAGGAATGGGGCCAGCCTATAAAATGAAAACTGTTGGGTTATCTCGTGAGGAGGAAATGTCTGTATTTTGTGAGCATCCCCAGTGACACCCCCTGATGGATGGATGGATATTTTGTATCCATCCAAACCGCATACCTTTTGTTCCTGACGGTGACCCTTGCCCACCTCTGCCTCTGCAGCGGCTCCCAGCGGTGGGTGGCCCAGGCTTGGGGGGTACAAGTGGCTGCTGAGCTTCCAAAGCCGAGCACAACAGGAGGCAGGGAGGTGGGGTGGGAGGGGGCAGCTGGCAGGGCAGGCTGCTATCTCCTGGTCTAGATAAGCCTATCTGACATTCCGGACCTCTGAAATCACCTGCCACGGCCCTCAAAGCTGGGCTCTGCCGCGCTGGCTGGGGCACGTCAAGTACCACTCTGCCTAATACAGACAGCGGCAGGCAGTGCAGACAGGGCAGAGGACGGTCTCCAGGATATGCGTTCCTGCAGGGGGCTCTGGCGGTCTCCGGGTACGTGTTCCTGCAGGGGGGCTCTGGCGGTCTCCGGGGTACGCATTCCTGCAGGGGGACTCTGGCTTTGTTCACTTACCTGTACCAGCCTCCTAGCGCTGCTGTGTTCAACAGGTTTCCCAGCCTAGATTACGACGGCTTTGTGTTTATTCTTCCACTTGTCACCAC